TTATTCCGCTGCGTATTTTGGTCTTCTAGTATTTGTTCCTATACAAAGGTTATTCCTCTTTTTATCCCCATCAGTCAGAACATACAATCTTCCATGATGAAACATAATGTCCATGGGATCGTCATCTATTTCCAATGTCTTGAACGTATGATGTCGGAGTTTATGTACAGTCACACTTTTGTATGGTTCTAAGAATCTATTACCCAACGTTATGAAGAGACAATCTGTCGCAAGCGGAGATGTCGATATGATGCTCTTATCGATATGGTGGCTGCATGGAGAAACATCGAGTGTAGCTCCCGTGATTGGATTTAGGAGACGAGCCTCAGAACCAAGGAAAACTTCTGGAGGATTGTGTGAGAACGTCAACCAGCCTTTGGACGCCCCGCAACACCACTGGCTTTGAAACTCCTCTGGCATCTCCATGCCTAAGCTTCGTCGTCCATTGGAGATGGGGAAAGGCTCCATCTTCGAAGAGCCGGACTGCCGGGGGAGACCACCAACCATGGAGCACGAGAATCAGGGAGGAAGTCGATGGTTGAAGTAGTTGACCACCAAGATTTACAGACGACGCCAACACGGATATGATCGGCTATAGTTAGGTGCTTTAGGATCATCTCCATCACATTCATCTGAAGTTGAGACCATCTTTCTTCTTCATCTTTGTGTGGAGGAGCCATTCGTCCTCGAGTACCTAAGAAAATTCAATTTGTTTCAGGGAAGTAGTCGCGTGCAAAATAAATAAAAAGATTAAGTGTTATTGTTAGGAAGGAAACCAATCATCTAATAATACTCAAATTTACATTAGAAAAAAATTACCAAATATTAAAAAGAGTCTTATTCTTAAAAAAAATAAATCGATGGTCTATTTTAATTCATATTTGGATTTGCGTTTGTGATAGGTTTAAATTTGGTTATCTATTTAACTTAGTGAAATTGACTTGACCTTACTTAAGAGTATCGAACTTGAATGAGACCACGTAAGATATCAACAAGAAGAACGACTTGAGTTGGACTCTTGACTATAGAAAATTCACGATCACTATAGTATGAATCTAGGACCAATATGAATAACTATTATAATAAAAGTCGAAGAGTGTTACTTCATCAAGATATTCTTCTCTTACTCTGTTTTTCTATGATATCATCGTGAGAGCTCACCTTGTAGCAATAATATGATATAATTAAATTTTATTTTTTTAAATATGAAAATACATGTATCACTTTTGTTGGAGGGTAGAAAACACCCCTATTTCATATTTCATTTCGTATAAGAGAGTGCATTAGAGATTTGCATGACAAAATCTTGTAAATATAAAAAATTTATAAATATTTATTCAATAAGTTCTAAGTAAATAAAAATATTTGAGAAGACCACTATATATAACATTGTTATTGTAAATATCTATTTAATTAACTAATATAATCTTTAGATATTTGTAATATATCCGTTAAAAACAAACTGGATTTTGTGTTATATTTTAATTAATTAAAAATAATAATCATATCTCCGTCCATACGACTCATTGTGCATCCACGAACTTAGGGTTGCCTTTGAGTTCAGATCGGACTCCGACTTCATCGATCACCATTTGCCCTCATATTTTGCTCAAACTCACTCGTCTCCAAGTGCGCCGCAAGCCGTTCGGCAGTGTCTACTTCAAGATAGAAGATAGCCCACCACAATCCGTCGTCTTCCTCTCGGCAATCGATTTTGGTTTAAACCTGAGCGGAGACCGCTTGTCGATGACAGCGTAGCCCAAAACAATGTTACCAACTCGGAGTAGAATCCTTCTCTCCAGCTTTAGGGCTTCTCTTCCCCGGCTTTCTTCTCCGGTCCAAACCCTCGCCGCCTGCCCGCGGGACGTTCCTCCGCCCGACCCCCTCGCCGACCTCGTACGCTACCACCTCTCATCCGGCGACACCGACGCCGCCGTCGCCGCCATCCGCAACTCCGCCGACCTCGGGCCCCCTCCTTCCTCCCCTGCTGCCCTCAACCCGCTCTTCTCCGCCCTCTCACGGACCGGCCAGTTCGCCTCCGCCATCTCCCTCTTCGACTCCCTCTCCTGGGCGCGCGACGCCGCCGACCTTGTCACCTTCAACATCCTCATCCATTGTGGCTGCCAGTCCCGCCAGTTCGATCTCGCCCACCAGTTGCTCGGTGAATTGCGCTCCCGTGGGTACACCCCCGACGTCGTGTCCTTCAACACTTTGATCAAGGGATTGTGCGACGAGCACAGGGTTTCAGATGCTTTTGCAGTCCTCGATGAGATGAAGCAGGAAGGCATCCTGCCGAACAGCTACACGTACTCGATGCTGATAGGGCTCGTTACACGGGGTCGCTCGGATTCAGAGAAAGGCTTGAACTTGATTCGAGAAATGCTGCAACTTGGATTGGAACCTAGCATAGTGAATCTTAATTGCGTTCTTTCGGCATCCTGTAAGGAGGTCAAGATTGATGTGGCAAAAGCTCTTTATGGTAGGATGAGTAAATCTGGAGTTTTGGGAGATGTCGTCTCCTACACCTGTTTTGTCAATGCATTGTGTAAAAAGAAGATGCTGGCTGAAGCAAAAACTCTTTTTTCTGAGATGCAGCAGAAGGGAGTATTTCCAAATGTTTTCACATATAATGCTATAATTCATGGGCTTTGTGCTAATTGGTTTTTGAAAGATGCAGTGGCAATGATCGACCAGATGTTGGTTAATTGTTTGAGGCCAACTATATCCACGTATACAACCCTCATGGATGGGCTCATTAGAGCTGGGCAAGTCGAAGAGGCTTTAAAATATTTGGATGTGATGAAAGGACATGGTTCAGGCCCGGACAAGTACATCTATGGTACTTTGCTCAATGGCTTGTGTCATAAAGGGAGAGTGGAGGAGGCAATGAAACTCTTCCGTCTAATGGAATCTGATGGACTGGCTGATGTTGCTGCTTACAACATGTTGATTGGTGGATTTTGCCGTGTTGGAATGATGGAAGAAGCCGTGAAACTTTTCCTAGAGGTTACTGAAAATGGGTTGGAGTGTGATGTTATCATGTGCACCACCTTGATCCATGGCTTCTGCAAGAATGGAAAAGTTGAAGCTGCACAAGAGATGGTTAGCCATATGGAGAGGAATGATCTCAAGCCTGATGCCATCACATATATGGCATTGATTGAGGGGCTATGCAAAACAGAAAATTATGATGGTGTGGAGCAGCTATTAGACTCTGTGGAAAAGATTGGCATTGAGCCAAATTCAGTTGCCTATAAAGGTTTAGTACGTCGGTTGTGTATATCAGGGCACTCTGATCGGGCTGTCTATTTGCTAGAAATGATGAAACAAAGAGGACAGCAACTTAGTCCTGAAACTTGTAAGGCACTTTTAGATGAAATCAATGGGGCGAAGAAACTTCAAAATACTGAGAATCTGCAATGCCAAATGGAAGAAATTGGTTAGAACCTGCTGGTGTGACCTTTCATGTATACACAGTAATTATTTTGAAGACATGCAATCCTAGGAAGCCAAGGATGATTTAAGGACCCTACATGATATCTTAGATCAAGGAGCTATTTTTTTTGCACTGTTTAATCTTTACAAATAACTTATCTGCTCTACAAGTTGCTCTCCATACATGTTATCCAAGTAGGGCGAAAAATCAAGATTCTAGGCTACAAATGCATTTGTTGTACTGTTTCCGAGAGAGGAATTGACACTGACACTACAATACAAGGGTGAAGCGAGAGGAATTGACCCTTTCTTGTGGGGGTAAGCAAACGTGCAGGATCAAGCAAGTAGGAAGATTTGGCAAGCACAGAGGAGACTTGACTGATCTGGTCACCGTGAATTGATTTGCAGCTGAAGCGCGAACTCTTAATCCTGCTTATCAGAAACATGATATTTTGTTTTTTGTACGGAGAGCGCATCCCATATTTTTGATAATAGGCGAATCAATGTACTCCAGGGACCGTGATTTACTATATTGGATCATGGGATGTCAAAAGGAGGAGAGTGAGAAAAAGGATTTTGATCACTTTGATAAATCCTGAATAGGATGTCAGTAGCATCTAGATGTGTCCTCAATAGGATGTCACTCAAATTAAGTTGACTACAAAGGTTTACTACATTGGTTGTGTATGTCAGGGCTCTCGGATTGGGCTGCCTATTTGCTGAAGATGATGAGACAGAGGTCAGCAACTCAGTCCTGAAACTTGTAAAACACTTTTAGATTAAATCAATGGGGTGAAGAAACTTCAAGATACTGAGAATCTGCAATGCCAAATCGGAGAACTTGGGTAGAACCTTTGGTATTACCTTTTATGCAGTCTCAGTAATTATATTGTAGACATGCAATCTTAGGAAGCCAAGGATGATTTAAGAAGGATGCTACATGATATCTTAAAGCAGTGATCAAGGATTTTTGTGTTCTGTTTAACCTTTGCAAGACTTGCTTGAGATCTGCTCTACAAGTTTCTCTCAATTCATGTTATCTAAGTAGATTTGATTATTTTGAGAAGTCCTGAACAGAATGTCACCTGCATCTAGAGGAAAGGATTGAAACTATGATTCACTCTCTACATCAGGACTCTCAAGGCTGAAAAGAAGGTAGTAAATAATTGCAAGGGTCTACTGTGTTTAGGCAGGAGCATCCTATGTTGTAAGTTCATTTCCTCCTGTATTAATATTAGTTCCTACCAAATCTTAAGAATAAATATGCGTATTTTACTTCATTTACTGGAGTATCTATCATTGTTGTTAAGAAAATTTAGAACTTTACATAGCCTATCTACTGCATGAGCTAAGCTTCTGTGACCTATACCTGTTGAGCAGGGATGAATTTTACTGCAGACATCGTTTACATGTATTGTTTGCATGACCAAAATGTTTTCACATCTTGGGAAGTGCCTCATAAAATTTTCCTTGGCAGTCATGGAATGAGATAACATGACATTAGTCATAGCAAGTTGATGCATATCCTTGGCAGAGTCTGTCCTTCACAAAGCAGAAGAAACTAGTATGCCAAACAAATGGCATCTTGTTGAATTACTCACAAAGTTATACTGGCTAAAACTTTGATCATTCGAATATGATATCAAAACTGTGTTCTATATGCCTAACAGAAAGAAGTGCTACAAAATTCTCTGGGGATTGGTTCATTGAGTTTGAGTAAACTTTTAGCTCATCACCTTAGTAGCAAGTAATGTGCTCATTGAAGCATTGTCATGACAAGAATCTGCAGTTAGGTTGTGGAGGGATTTATGCAAGAAAAAACAAGGGCATATAAGCAATGTTAGTATTAGTGCTTAAGTATGAACATCAATGTTGTTGGCATTATATGACATGGTGAAGTCCTAACAGATGTTAGAAAGCTTAGAGATTTTTTTTTTTTTACAGTTTGTGTTGCGGTATCACAGTGTAAAGACAATTATATCTCGCAACTTATGTTCTTAACATGATTACAAATTATCTCATGTCATTAACATTCATTTTAGAAATTTATCTACCCAAACACACCTATGTGCTCAAGTTAATAATATCATATAAACATCTTCTGTTATTTACTAATTGCTATATATAACTTGTGTTATCAGTTAATCGTAAAAATCATTTTCCATTAATATTCAATTATAAAAAAATCTTCTACAATAAATTAACTGCAAAACAACTTCCTTCTGTTATTAATAATTGCAGAAAAAACACCTTCTTGCATTCATTTATAGTTGAACATAATTGGAAATATGCTCCTTATCATGGAGGTAGTGCCTGTACTTCTCATTTAGATGAGGATAAAGAGGGTGGGCAGAGGATTTTTACTGATATATACTCTATTTTTCATATGGTCAAATGGTGGCTCTCAAAGCCTTTGGGCTATGATTGCATCATCAGCTCAATAGAAGAAGCCTATCTCAGCATGCCCACGACACAAATGAGCTTAATGTTGTGACCTTACATGCAAGACATGAATATTCTCATGGCGGGAAGCAAAGTATAACTTCGAGAGAGTACCTTGCAGAAAGTAGATGTTCAACAACATAAAAAAGCAGGCTTGTATTGAACATAAAGTCCCATATGCTTTGCCCCTGAGGCCAGACTTCTAAAGGCACAAGGGCCTTGTTGAGACCTACAAATACCACACAGCATACCTCTTCCACAACACCCGCAAAATAATTTTAGCCTCCATACTTCCTATTTCTGCAACTTTCTACAAAGTTTCACCATGTCAAACTACGTGTGCTTAATTCTGCTGTCCTTCTTCATGCTGATATCAATAGCTGCTGGAACTCAGTTTAAGGTAGGAGGCTCAAATGGTTGGATTGTTCCTGACAGCAATGCCATGTCGTACAACCAATGGGCTGAGAAGAATCGATTTAAAATCGGTGACTCCCTATGTAAGCTCTTCAATCAATATATTCTTGCTTGCTTCCATGAATTCACAATTCACTATGCTAATGCGATCCATTTGAAAATTTTGTGGTTCAGTGTTTGTCTATCTTCCTGATGAAGACTCGGTGCTGTTGGTCGATGCCGATGCTTACAATAGCTGCAATACGTCATCTTTCGTCGATTTCTTCAATGATGGCAACACTGTGTTCAGCTTCACTCGCTCCGGCCACTTCTACTTCATCAGTGGAAAGAAAGATAACTGTGACAAGAACGAGAAGCTAGTGGTGGTCGTCATGGCTGATAGGAGCAACAGTTCAAGTTTAGCACCTGCTCCCCTTCCTGCTTCTGCTTCACCTCCACCTTACGGATGGGTGGTGGAGGAACCAACTGCTCAGCCCCCGCCGCCAAATGGGGCATCTTCGAGGGTGGTTGGCATGGTCAGCACAATTGGTGCTGTGCTTGGAGCTTTGTCATATGCTTTCTGAGGTTGTCTTTGTGTGCGAAGTGAGGATCTATCGTGTGATACCATTCTATGAGCTTGAGTTGCATGTATTGGAAGTTTGTGGAACTAAATCACATAAAGTGAGAGTTTGCTTGTTGCTGCATGCCAGTTTGATGCGCCATTCCTATGTATATTGTTTGAGTTGCTTGTGTCAAAAGTTATGGAACTAAATCTTATGAAAAATCAATTGATGCTGCAGATTCTTCCTTGATGAATCATGCCTTTTTATCTTTTAATTCTTTTGCAAGCTTTCTCATATCCTTTTTTTTGAAAAGACTGAATGAAATCGAATTGGCTGGCGGAGTTTTTGTTCCAAAAATGGTGGAATGATGGAATCCAAATTTTCTTCGAATGCTTTCTACATAAAGGTATTACATATATAGTATGCACATGAAAAGGTAGGACTATAAATACATGATTCCGAAGCAGGATGTGAATGAAGCCATTCCTTGTCTCTCTCAATCTTCCATCTTATCTGTTTCCTTCTTCAGATTTGTCATTCTTCTCCGTTACTCTATTTTTCCCATCTTCTTATCTCCTTCGTCAGCCTATCTTCTTTGCATTAGATTATCTTGAGCAGAATCTTGAATGTTGTGCTTGCGGCCAACTTCTGTAGATTTTGCATGTCAAAAAACAATCCTGAAGACATGACACTGTACGTACATGCATGATCGAGAGAGTTGAGTGCGTGCTATCTAAGTCAAGATGAGATTAGTGCGGTCGACAGCATTCAACGTGGGCAATCCATGAGAGCTCAGAAGCTGTGGTGGCGTCGAAAATGTACCAGGATCCGTGTGCACCACGCGAGGTTTCGTGAACGAAACAGCAGCAGATGGGTGGAAGAGAAACCACACCAAAAGTTACCAGAGGTTTTAGCTTCAAACGAGACACATTCTGCAGTGTACTCACAGAAGTCTCTGTCTTCAACAAACTGTTTGATGAAATGCCATGCTACTATATTCTCTTACATGTTGCAGTGAGCCGTCATCTACTATTGCCACAGTGGTGCCTGTGGTTGATGTGTGTATGCCAATACCTAACAATGGATAACTTTCCGTCAATTAGGGTAGAGGCTTTGTGAACAAGGTGGATGCATGTCTCCATTTAATTAGTCTTCATGTTTTCCTTCCAGATCAACTTCCATTATCTCTCTCTCTCTCTCTCTCTCTCTCTCTCTCTTATGGTTATAATTCACTGCCTTACTTCTGTCTTTCATTTTACTGTACAGTAGCAGATACTTATTCTTCAAACTCCAGTCAAAAAAGATAGTGGGAAGACAAACTTTAGGAGGTCTTTGTCTGCATCTTCATCACAGTAAAAGAGTGTAGACTTTTGAGTAGTTGACCATAAGACTAGCACATGGAATGCTCTTCTTCTTCCTTCTGCCCATATTGTGATGTTCCTTTTATTGTTGCAGGGGTAGCAAGTTGCCAACATTTATTTATGGTGCATATATCTTTTAAATATTGGTCCATGTCTATCATATTCTGACAGGATGGCTTGTGTCTTATTCCAGATTGCTTGTTGATGGATGTTTGTCTAGATTCGTTTCTAGACATAATTGAATCATACTGTATACACCTTTACTTTATGGAAAATATGTACTCCTTTAATGTATGGGTAATCAATTTAAGGACTTGCAGAAACAATTATGAACAGAGCAGGGAAGTACATAAATCTAAGAAATTGCAGGCAGTCATTGACTGACTATTTATTAACACTAGTCTTGAGGAATGTCAGGTACAGTGCAGGGCATGAACTATAAACTGTTTGTTCTTGTAATCTTGATTTAATGATAACTGGGACTTGGCAACTTTCCCCACTTTTGTGTAGTTAAAATCAACTCATTTTTTCTCAGACTGTGTTTTGATATGGGAAAATATAGATGATTCATTTCTTAGCTTAAAGAAGGATCAGCCTAGCAAAAAATACTTGAGATAATTTTTTATGACTGAATAAAATGCAATAGCACTTGAAGCTGTTTCCTGATGTTGAACTATGGTCTACTTGATTGCTTGCAGAGTGTACAAGCATGAATACATTTTGAACATGCTGATGATTCATTATTCAAATGGGTAGGTTTCAATTCATATTCTTCCCTTAAGCATTTGGGCTTCAGTTGATCATTTGTTGCATGCCTATTCTGACTTCTACTTTGGTACCCAAATGAATAATCAAGTTGAAGATGTGTGATTTCTTTTTCCTTTGCTTTTGACTGAAACAGGAAGTCAAAGCACACAAACCTTACTCCAATTGGATTGAGATGAAGAGTACAAGGTAATGAGGGCATAGTCATGGGCTTGTACATGGTGATTAGTAAGTAATACCAATCAACAAAAACCTGCACAAGATTTTTGATCTATTCATTTGCACATATGTAGAACAGATTCATTAAACCAAAAGTCTCTTCTAGAAGATAGTCTACTGACATGGACAAAGGAACTAAACAAGGCTCTCTTTTCTTCAGCTCTGTACATCCTTTTGTTCTCTCTATGAACTCAGATCCATTCACAGTTTCTTCCAGTTCATGACAATTCCCATCTCTCACAACATTCTCCTGCAAATTCCAGAGGCAGAAGACCCTGGTTGAGCTGCATAAAACACATTTAAATCAAATCAAATAGAAGAAAGATACAGATTGGTTACATTACCTAAGCTGTGTCCCTGTGGTCATCCTTCTTGCCTGTGTTCTTAGTCAAGTAATTGAAATCAGTAACCTGTTGCAAGGAATCCACAAAAAAGAAATCACTCAATACAACATACAAAAGATAAGATGGAAAACATGTATATTCTAACCTTGGGACTACTAACAGGTGAACTGGCTGTATCTTCCAAGGAATCATCATCCACCAGCCTTTTCCCCTTCGTCTTCTTCAGGCTCAGCTCTCTGTAATCCTCGGTCACTTCAAAGCTGGCAGACAGCTTCCACGCAACAGATGAAGCAGCGTCGGAGACCACAGAAGGCTCACTGACAGCACCGGAGGAGAAGACACCACCTGCCTTTTCTGCTGCTGTAGCCATGAAGTCCTCAAAGTACATGGTCCAACCACTCTCCTCAGAGGAAGCTGAGCCAACCTTGGACAAGAAGGCGCTATCCATTGAGGAATTGATTGATTCCTCCATCTTCGGCAGTGGGAGATATGGTGGGTAGTGCATCAGGAGAGAAGAGCTCTGTGAGGTCTATATAGAAAACAAAGAGAGGAGAAAGCAAACGAAGACTGAGAGAGAGAGAGAGGGCTGCTTTGACATTAGAACTCTGATACCTAACACTCACCAATTCTCTTTCTTTACCATTTGTGTATCTGCTACCATTGACCATGGAAATTTGCTTTGGAGTTGGTCAGCCCTGTGAGCGTTATGAACCGTTTTTACAGTTGGGATTCAAGGGGGATTAAATGACTCCATGACACCCTAAAGTTACAGAGACACCTCTTTAGGAAGCTTATAAGATGAGGATACTGATATCAAAAGAATAATTCAGAAAATTAATAATAAAATATAAAATCCATAAAATAGGCAAACGTAAGATTTAGATAGTTCGATACTATTTATCAATGTTTATGGAAAAAAACTTAAATAATTTCCTATATGAGAATAATAAAAATCCAAAAACAAAACTCAATTTTTAGTTAACCAAAACTTAAGTTTAAAGGCCCCTATGCATTCTCTTGTATCTCTGAATTTACTAGAAAAAATAATATACCAAGTGTTTTTTTTTCGTGCATTCTCTATTAAATTTTAGTTTATATTTGTTGTTTCTTTGAGTAATTCTTATTTTGCTTATTTTAGCAAGTTCTCATGCATGTGTATTTTCTTACATTTTTTTCTATCTAGTATATTATGATTATTATAATTCAACTTTATATGATAATTGGTATGCTAATTTTATTGAGTCCAAATCATTGATTAAGATATTAAAATGTCAATGGGATCGAGTGCGGGGGTGCTTCTCTCGTCTTCATCCCTATCTCTCCTTGTCTAATCTCACATTCTCACCATATTCCTCCATCCCCACCTCATGACAAGACGACGAGGGCGATGAAAATGAATATATGAATTTTTATATTCTCTTAATTAATCTATATTTTTTAAATATAAAAATATTATCAAATTAATTAACTATATCAAATTTATAGAAAATAATAATATTTTTAAAGCTTACACATAATAATAATATTTAAATATAAAATATATCTAAATATACCAAATATATCCATAACCAAATAAATATAAATATATCTAAATAAATTTATAAATTAATATTTTTTATTAATATAATTTTTTCAATTTTCATACTCACATATCTATGAAGACCGATCCTGCATAAATATAAAAATTTATAAAATATCTAGCAATCAAACTTAAAAATAAATAATATTATTAAAATTTAAGTATATATCAATTATCGAAGTAATGAGGTGGTGAGAAGGTTGGGAAATAAAAATTATGAAATGAAGTTGAACCAGTAAATCTCAATTAGGGTTTTGAACTTTTGATGAAATATTTTATTTACTTCTAATATTATTTTATTTATATTTTTTTAAATATATTAAAAAATTAAATACAAGATTGATTTAGTGGTTAATGTTGGAATATTAGAGTTATAGTTATTAGGTCTATTTTTAAAATATATTTTTAATTTATGTTATTAAAAAATATTATATATAATATAATAATATAAATACAGAGGGGATGAGATGGGGAGTGATATATCTGTCTTCGACCCATAATCGCATAGGTAATTAAAAATATATTCTCTCCTTATGTGACGAGTCTCACGTATATAAATAATTGATCTATCAATTTCATTAAGTCTAAATCACCCTTGTGATTATGTGCTCAATATGTATAAGTTGATTGGACCCGAATAAATGATTGTATATAAGTAACTAAATTATATAATGCAAAATCAGAAACATTTACACTTCATTGTCGAAATAACTATGTAATCATGGATAAAAGACTGATATTTTCAGTTCAAAGTTGTCTCAAGGCTTTTCTGGATTCATGAACAGACTTCCAATTCGAGCCTTTCCAGTAACTTGGACGAAGACAGAAGCTTGGCTACCTGATCACCATGTTGATGTTAAATGGCCAACACTTACATGACTGATATGAACTGACTCTGAAAGATGAGCTTTCTCCTGTTCTGTTGTAAGCTTCTGCTAGCCATGAATGATCATTAGCTCTTCGTCGTATGGAGAGAGAGAAGATGATGCCTCTGCTCACATGGTGGCTGCTATCAGATCCCTCTCATGTTCAACAAATCCTCGTGAACCTCTGATGACACAGTTCAGTGCACTGCATGCCTCTGCGACCATGGGTGCTGTTGATGCAGCTGCTGCCTCTCCATTGCCCTTCTCCACTCAACTTATTCTGAAAAGGACCTCTCCTGTTGCTTCTCTCAATCTCTCACCTAAACAAACTATCATTTCGTGAGATTTGTGGCATCATTAAGATAAGTTTTGGTATACGAATTAGCCATATTCGAGTGTTGTGATATAATGTGATCGATCGGGATTATTTATTTAGATTGAGATCCATATCCACGCAAGATCTGCGTATGTTAATCCATATAGAAACTAACAATGGTTACGCGAGTCGATTGATTTCTGTTTTAGATTTTGTGTTCGTATATGTTTGTGGAGATCGGACTCTTCCTACGTGAATCCAATAAAATCTAACTAAATTGTTGAGGAGGAGTTCTCAAACAATTTCTAGCTTATCCAATCTCATTCGGTATCACAAAGCTTCTCTTACATCTATATAATCCAAGCTAACAGTTCCTTTCTCATCTCTCCATCTCAATCATGGCTGCCTCTTCTTCTTCTTCCCTCTTCCTCCTCTTACTCCTCTTTGTCTTCGTTGTTTCTGCCACCTCAAGACACCTCGGTCACTCGGCTCTGCACTCCTACTTTAGAACTCACCGCACCGGCCTTCCCCCTCGTTCGACGTATGGGCCAATCAAGACCTATGGCCGCAACTACTCCTACGTCTGCGACTCGCGCAGGTTCGCCGACTTAGGTCTCAGAGTGACCGACTTCGCTTACTGCAACAAGAACCTCTCGTACGAGCAGAGGGTGAAGTCGCTGGTGGGCAGCTTGTCGCTGGAGGAGAAGGTAGGGCAGATCAGCGACCAGGCTCGGGGCGTGCAGCGGATCGGACTGCCGCCCTACAGCTGGTGGTCCGAGGCGCTCCATGGCGTCTCCTTCGTGGGTCATGCCACGTACTTTGGCGACATCGTCCCCGCCGCCACTAGCTTTCCCACCGTCATCGTCTCCGCCGCCTCCTTCAACGAGTCCCTGTGGAAGTCCATTGGCCAGGCCAGTGATCTAAGTACTCTTTCTCTAAGAACTCGGATGCTGATGACGTGACATCAACAATCTCACAAATCTCTCCTCATGATCTTTGACAGGTGGTTTCTACGGAAGCGAGAGCAATGCATAATCTAGGGCATGCTGGCTTGACCTTCTGGAGTCCCAACATCAATGTTGTTAGGGATCCTCGATGGGGAAGAATTCTCGAGACACCCGGAGAAGATCCTTTTCTTGTCGGTAAATATGCCGCCAACTTCGTCAGAGGCTTGCAAGATGTCGAGGGCCATGAAGTCGCTGCAAATCCAGATTCCAGGCCATTGAAGGTGTCTTCTTGCTGCAAACACTATGCAGCGTATGATGTAGACAACTGGTTTGGCATCGATCGCTACCATTTTGATGCCAGGGTAATCTTCAGTCAAACACTTGTTGTCACTTTAATCGAGTGATTTCTCTGTAACGAGTTCTTCTTTCAAGTTCATATATAGGTTGCAGCGCAAGATATGGTGGAGACGTTCCTTCTTCCTTTTGAGATGTGTGTGAAGGAAGGTGATGTTAGCAGTGTCATGTGCTCTTACAATCGTGTCAATGGCATCCCTGCTTGTGCAGATCCAAAGCTTTTATCCCAAACCCTAAGGGACGATTGGAAGCTTCATGGGTAAGAATCTGCAAACCAATTATATTTCTTCATTACCTGTAAGTATGAGTCTCACTTTCTGATCTTCAAATTCTTCAGATATATAGTCTCTGACTGTGACTCGCTCGAGGTCATGCATCACGGCCACAAATGGCTCGGTGATACCCCTGAGGCAGCCGTCTCTCAAACACTTCGTGCTGGTGATTCACATTTCATGCTCGGATTAAGCTTTTACTAATTGATTTAGTGATTTATTTGTTGATCCTTCTATCTATCTATGTTTGCTTAGGTTTGGATTTAGATTGTGGTGACTACTACTCCAATTTCACGGAGTCTGCTGTGGCACAAGGCATCGTGAGGGAGTCATATATCGATACCGCGTTGAAGAATCTCTACACTGTCCTCATGAGGCTCGGATTCTTCGACGGCATGCCGAAGTATGAGTCGCTTGCAGAAGACGATATCTGCACGAAAGACAACATTGAATTGGCTGCAGATGCAGCGAGACAGGGAATTGTTCTGCTTAAGAACGACCACAACATCTTGCCACTGCGCAAAGACAAGTACAAGAAGCTTGCTTTGGTTGGTCCTCATACTAATGCAACCGAAGCCATGATCGGAAACTACGAAGGTTTCATGTCTCTGTCATCTCAAAGCCTTCTTAATTTGGTTTACAGTAGGTTGCAGATTACACTGCTCTGGTCTTCTCCACAGGTACGCCTTGCCGTTATGTTTCCCCTCTCGATGCCTTCTCTGCTGAAGGAAAGGTAGAATACGATCTGGGATGCACGGTCTGGTGTTGGGAGAAGGAATCCCACCAACGTGCGAAGGAGATCGCTGCGCGCGCTGATGCCACCATCATCTTTGCCGGCATAAGCCTTGAAGTGGAGGCCGAGAGCCGCGACAGGGACGATCTCTTCATCCCCTACAGCCAATCTAACTTCATCACCGAAGTCACCGAAGCTTCCAAGGGCCCTGTAATCTTGGTTATCTTCTCTGCAGGGGGGTTGGATATCTCATCCATCGCCAGAGATAACGCCAAGGTCAGTGCCATTCTCTGGGCAGGTTATCCCGGTGCCGAAGGAGGCCGTGCCATCGCCGACGTAGTTTACGGACGATACAATCCGGGTAATTGGATATTTGATGGTGGGACGATGTATCATAACAGGATTGACATCCAGTTCTTGCTTTTTTTTCGGTGTAGGTGGAAGACTGCCCATTACATGGTTCGAGTCAGAGTACACAAAACTGCTCCCAATGACATCGATGCCATTACGCCCGATCGATGAGCTCGGTTACCCTGGAAGGACCTACAAGTTCTTCGACGGCCAGACGGTGTATCCTTTCGGTTATGGCCTCAGCTACACGCAGTTCAAGTACACCCTCAAATCTGTGCCGAGCAGCGTGGTCGTCAAGCTTGATCCCCTGCAGCTGTGTCTGCCGCTGACATACATGCCGAATGCCTCACTGGAAGAAGAACACGCGGGAGCTGCATGTCAATCTGTCAACGTAGCTGACACTGCGTGCAACCATGAAATCAACTTCGAGGTTGAGGTGGCGAACACGGGCAAGTTCGACGGGAACCACGTGGTGATTGTCTACTCCAAACCTCCGGCCGGTGTTGCAGGAGCCCCCATCAAGCAGGTTGCCGCGTTCCGGCGGGTGTTCGTGCCGGCCGGCGCCTCAAGCTCGGTGAAGTTTTCGATCGACGCATGCAAGAGCTTGAGCATTGTGGAGAAGACGGCCTACAAAGTCTTGCCTCGTGGTCAACACACCATCGTGGTCGGGGACGATGAACCCACCGTTTCCTTCCCTGTTAAGGTGGATTTCAATTAGAACAAGTGAGAATGCTCAGTGACATTCAACATTTAGTTGAAGGCTGCAAAAATGAAGCGTTTCCGTTCGTATTTGTATTTTTTTGTTTCCCAAATAAAGCCAAAAATGGTTGAATCAAATCCAATTCAGATATCTCTCATAATTTAAACTTAAATATTTTTGTATTTGTATTATCATAATTTAAATTTAAATATTTTTGACCAATGATTTAAACCTAATAAAATTAATATATTAATTATTTTACCATGTAATCGGATCATAATAATTTTCTATTGTGCTAAGTTACTGTTTATACGATCCGATGGTATATGTCCCGTTAATTAAGAAATATACTTAAGAAATATAAATCCTTAAGTTGACGAGCTGCTCCACTACTTGTGTTGCAAGAAATACAAATCCTTGAGAATTCATCATCTTGCCGGTCTTCAGAAATAATAATGTATGTATTTGTAATTATATTTATAATTTATAAAGATATAATAAATAAATAAATAAATAAAATAAAAAGTAGAAAGCATATGACTCGGATAGATTGTTATGACTCGGATAAATCAACCTTCATATTCTTTTGACTTACTTGGGATTTCACGATATTAAACAAGGAAACTGAACTCGTTCAATATCTCTCAAAGTTAACTTAGTTACGATTCGACCGGTGAACAGTTATTAGAACAACGATAATTTTTAAGAATCCTGTATTTATTTTTTATTAATTTCTAATATGACTATTCGGTTAAGTAATCTATATATTTTTGAAAATAAAGAATAGATGTACAAATATAACTCGTTATTCAAGAAACAATTTAGATTTCCTCGAAGAACTCTCCGAGTAAGTTTCACACACACACACACAAAGCGAACTTCCACCCAAACTCAATTGTCAACCGAAGAAAAGGAAAGAAAAAAAGGCAATCAAAGGAAACATGGAATTCCCAGCGCACGCACAGCAACTGATCAATCGGTCTCCGGTGGCGGCAAGTTAATGGCTTTCGGCTCATCCTCAGCACTCTTTTTGGCATCCTCCTTGCACCAAAACCCTTCTTTATTGCAAGGCCAAGAACTTAATTCCTTGTGCGATGAACTTTTTTTCCCACAGTTTAATTTCTCGACGAATCGGAGCCCTGGGAACGAAGTTGTCAGGTTCTCCCAGCTGGGATGATCCAGATAATTGAGGAGCCTCAGGCGCAGCACCTCCACCTTCCACCCCCGGCCGTCTCCTAGACTTCGGAGCCTCCCTCCCCTCAGGTACAGTTTCTTCACGTTTTCTAATTTGCTGGGATCAATCCACTGCGGGAACTCCTCCTCGGTGAAGCACCGGAGTTCCAGCTTCTCTATCGTACTAGGAAGGGTAACCTTAGCGGGATCAAGGAAACGATCCGCTGCAATCTTCTTGGTTTCTCTCTTCGTCAGTAACTTCACTCCCGAAGCTTGTCCGTCGGTGGTCGGGCGAGCCTCATGGTCGGATATTGGTTGAACTTTCTTCGTAGTGGCATCAGTACCAAAAGTAACGTCTTTGCTCCTTGGATCGGCGTTCTTGTACGGGACATCGGATTCTGATGGTTTCTGCTCCGGTGGATGTGGCAGCTGACGCTTTTCGATGACATCATCTTCACCATCATCATGATCATCGGCATCAGCGGCAGCAGTAGCAGCATCGGATGATTGTTTGGACTTCGATGGGAGATCTTCGATTGAGTCCTTACCAGTCCCTGGTTGTTTCTTCTCCTGTGAGGACGCCTCATCACCTCTGGTGGAATGAGAGTCTTCCTTCTTCTCTGTAACCACTGCCCATGTTATGATGAGGGTGGTGATCTTCTTCAACTCGCCCACATTCTCCAGCTCTTTTTCTGCGATCCGACTGGCTATGTTGATGCTGAGCTTCCTCAACTTGGTCAGCTTGGCCAACTGATGGAGATGACAAACATGTTTGTCATCAGGCCCACTGATCAGTAAAAACCCCTTGAGCACTTCCAGATCGGAGAGGTTGGCGATGCTCTTGGGCATCTTGTTGAGCCGGAAGCACTCCGACACGTCCAGGTACTGCAGCTTCTTGGCGGACCCGATCGCCTCAGGCAACTTCTCCAGATTGTGGCACGCCCGGAGGTCCAACACCACCAGCTTTGTGAGCTTGCCGATGGAGTCGGGAAGCGTTTCCACCCTCGATACGCCTCTGAGGCTCATGTACCGCAAGCTCTTGCAGTTATGGAGCCCCTTCAAGAACTCCTCGTTCTTGACCACGATATCGTTCTTCTGGTCCGAGTCCTGCCACCGCCCCAGCTGCATTGTGGTCATCTCGCCCTTGTTGACCAGCCATGTGGGTTCGAAGTCGACGTAGCGCTTGTCGACGTTGTAGATGGTGAGCAGTCGACGTCCCGCATCGTCGCCGATGGGGTTTTGTTCGAGGCGCAAGCACGCACGGCGACTCCAGGAGTAGTCGTTGCTGGGGCGGCCGTCCCGGTCGAAATCGAGGAAGCCGTTGCTCTTGGCGACGGTGATCAACAGCCTGCGAATCCACGACTGTATCCTGAAGTAGTGCACCTTGTCACAGTGCTTCTTCTTGATGGTTATGATCAGGCCCTTGGAGACGAGTTGGTCGAAGCATTTCTTCCCTTCCCTAGAACTCGTCACTATTGTCTCGCCCATCCACCAGTGGATCAGCAGCCTCTTCTTGAGGATAGCTTTCGCCGGGAAGACGGTGAGGCAGAAGAGGCAATGCTTCAGCTGAGTCTCGAAGCTGTCGACCACAAGCAAAAGGTGCGCCCAAGCGGAGCTCTCTTGGATCTGCCACTCCAGTGGGAGCACTTTTTCTTCCTCGCCCTCCTTCCCCTCAGCCTTGGATTCCTGTTCACCCGACGAATCCTTTGACTTCTCCTCTGAACTCTCGAGTATTGCAATGATTTTGTCGAGCTTTTCGAGTGGGCTCTCTGTTTTCGAGGAATTCGACGTCTTGAAGGTGATTTCCGGTCCCAACAATTCGTCGACTTGCCTGGCGACGAGTGCAAATTTATTTATGGCGGCGTCTTCTTTGCCCTTGGATTCCCGCAACTCTTTTCTCAGCTCCTCCATTTTTTTCTTGATATCGTCGATCTTCGTAGCAACAACCTGGGAAGAAGCACCCTTCGGATCGGGGACGAGGAGGCCTTTGGTTTCTTCCAAACGCTTCAGCAACCGAGACACTACTTCGACGCTGGATCCGCCGCACGGGAACATGGTCGGAAGCAAGAAATGAGGCACAGGAGAAGGTTGGGGTTATGGTGGCTTCGTGTTACGTCTGCAACTCATATAGCTGCATCGGCATAATCTACGTGAGGCACAAGGAAGAGAAAAGGAATATAAAAAAAATAGAGAGAATAAAGAGAAAAGAGAAAGAGAAAAGAGAAAGAGGGGAGAATAAAAAAAGAGAAATATATTTTAATAATAACAATAGCTTAGATTTAACATATATATATATATATATGAATATTAAAAATTGAAAAGGAAAAGAAATAAAAGGAACAAACACACAAAAAGCAAAAGAGAAAAAAAAAACATGGACAAAGAAAAAAATAGAAAAAGAAAAAGAAAAAAAGAGAAAGTTTAGGTTGCACATTATTACTCCACCTACCGGAGGCAGCACATCTTCTTCAATACTCTCATTGCAAAGCAACACACCATATCTCAATCAAAATTCTGATGTACGGTTCATTTCATTGAGTAAAAAAGAACTGGGCATGGGCATCAGCAAGATTGCATCAGGAATATATATATATATATATATATATTTATTTATTTATTTATACATATATATGTATACATATATACACATATATATATATATATATGTATATATATATATATATATATATGCATACACATGTATATACATATGCATACACATGTATATACATATGCATACACATGTATATACATATACATACATATGTATATATATATCGGGTCGAGAACTCCCCGTCTTGTTATGGCCTTCGTGCAAGGTGATACTTTAAGGAGCACAATATTTCAATTTCGGAAGTTATCTCGAATCCAACTCGGAAGCTATCTCAAATTTACGTCATAGTCACATCGGATCTATCTTGAATCTATCTTAGAGCTGCCTCATATTCTTTTTGAAGTATAACATTCCTTTGTCATGAATATCTCGAACATTTTTGCGCACATGAGTTTTGACTAAGTTGGGGTGATTAAGAGGTCAATAACTTTTTCCCATAATAGTTTGGTATTAGAAGGAGACCCGATATTATAGAAATATCTATCTACCCATCCTCTTAATGAATGCTCCAATGAGGAGGCATCGTCTCTAATCTACAACACTTTTATTTAGAAAGAACAACCATCATTCCTCTCATGGGTAGATGTGTCCATCTCGATAAAAATGCCAACAGGACACTCAAGTCACTTATTTGTTCTGTTCCTAAGCTTTGCCAATTAGATGTAGATGCTTAAGGGCGTATTGCAAGTTCTTACTTTGCTCTTACCTCAATTAGTCCAACATATGCTATTGCCATCTCAACTACATAATATTTAATTAATTTTTAAAATATAATTTTATCAAACAATACTTATGTTAATACATATTTAAAATATAGTTTTCATCTATTATTTTTCAAATACTCAAAGTATTTTATAATTATACATTATTCAAACCCTTTTCTCCAAATATACTTGAAAAATATATTTTCCCAAACAAATACACTCTATATCCATTAGGATATCTATGACACTCTTGATATACTTATACATTATATGATAATCCTTTTATTACAAGTTGGCTAGATTGCTATGGAATTCATATATATGTTGATATTATCTTATCAATAATTATAATGAAGTCAATGCAAATTCATTGTCATTGATGAATAAGGTTATTGACATGACAAAAATTATTCGTACATATCGACATGTATCCACCTTAGCTCCTTCGCATTGACATTAACTATATTTACACCACCACTCTTTTGAATATCTCGAAATGCATCAAGTTACCTCAACAAAATTGAGGTGCACTTTCATAAACCACATTAAAATTATAACTCTATCACAATAATATCATCATATTAACACCACAACTTACGCATCATGATATCACAACAAAATTGAGATATAACTTCACAATCTAATCCAAATGAAAGTAGTACACCACTCTAACCTAGCCTTTAGTACTAGAATATGCTAACCGATCTTGTCTCACCATAAGATCATTTTATCACTATAGGAGGTCCTTTCTAACACAATGCTTAACTCGTGACAGCCACCCCTATAGCACTTTGTCAATGTGAGATCACGGAAAAAAAAAAAAAGCCTCTTCTAGATTGTCATCTAGAGGAGGAAATGACATCGACTAGATTGTCATATGGAGAAGAAATTTCCTTGTCGAGAAAGGATAACTCCAAATGAGAACATGCAAAATAAAACATTTGTTTATCTTTACATAAATATTTTTTTTCTCTTTTATTATAAGCTTAATAGACTAAAATAAATATAAAACATTCTTTGACATGAGCATCAAAGAGATTATAAATCAACCTTTATATCATTTGTTTTACGAAGGATTTCACGAGGTTAAACAAGAAAATTAAACTCGATTATCATTTCTCAAAATTAACTTAATTACAACAAGACTGATTAATAGTTATTAGAGCAACGATAACTTTTAAGAATCATGAATTTAATTTTTATTAATTTATAATATAAATATTTTGTTAAGTAATATATATATTTTCGAAAATAAAGAATAGATGTACAAATATAACTCTTTATTGAAGAAAAAAAATAGAATTTCTCGAAGAACTTGACAAGATTAATTGTTCTTTGCGGTTGAAAATGAGAACGATCTCCGAGTAAGTTTCACACACACACAAACAAAGCGAACTTCCACACAAACTCAATTGTCAACCGAAGAAAAGAAAAAAAAACAAAAAAAAAGGCGATCAAAGCAGAAAGCAAAGCAGTTGATACATTATTAATAGTTCAAAGGAAACATGGAATTCCCAAAGCACACACACACGACAAAAGATATTATGCGTAAGTCCGCACATACGAGCACGCACAGCAACTGATCAATCGGTCTCCGGTGGCGGCAAGTTAATGGCTTTCGGCTCATCCTCAGCACTCTTTTTGGCATCCTCCTTGCACCAAAGCCCTTCTTTATTGCAAGGCCAAGAACTTGATTCCTTGTGCGATGAACTTTCTTTTCCGCACTTGAATTTCTCCACGACTCGGAGCTCTGGGAACGAACTTGTCAGCTTCTCCCAGCTGGGATGATCCAGATAATTGAGGAACCTCAGGCGCAGCACCTCCACCTTCCACCCCCGGCCGTCTCCAAGACTTCGAAGCATCCCTCCCCTCAGGTACAGTTTTTTCAGCTCTGGTAATTTAAGGGGATCAATCCACTGCGGGAACTCCTCCTCGGTGAAGCACCGGAGATCCAGCTTCTCTATCGTACTAGGAAGGGTAACCTTAGCGGGATCATGGGAACGATCCGCTGCAATCTTCTTGGTTTCTTTCTTCGTCAGTGACCTCGCTCCCGAAGCTTGTCTGTCGGTGGTCGGGCGAGCCTCATGGTCGGATTTTAGTTGAACTTTCTTCGTAGTGGCATCAGCAGCAGCAGCAGCAGTAGCAGTAGCAGCATCAGATGATTGTTTGGACTTCGGTGGGAGATCTTCGACTGAGTCCTTACCAGTCCCTTGTTGTTTCTTCTCCTGTGAGGGCGCCTCAGCACCTCTGGTGGAATGAGAGTCTTCCTTCTTCGTTGTAACCACTGCCCATGTTATGATAAGGGTGGTGAGCGTCTTCAACTCGCCCACCTTCTCCAGCTCCGTTTCTGCGATCCGACTGCCAATGTTGATGCTGAGCTTCCTCAACTTGGCCAGCTTGGCCAACTCATGGAGATGACAAACATGTTTGTCATCAGGCCCACTGATCAGTAAAAACCCCTTGAGCACTTCCAGATCGGAGAGGTTGGCGATGCTCTTGGGCATCTTGTCGAGCAGGAAGCAGTCCGACACGTCCAGGTACTGCAGCTTCTTGGCGGACCCGATCTCCTCCGGCAGCTTCTCCAGATTGTGGCACGCCCGGAGGTCCAACACCATCAGCTTGGTGAGCTTGCCGATGGACTCGGGAAGCGTTTCCACCCTCGATACGCCTCTTAGGCTCATGTACCGCAAGCTCTTGCAGTGGTCGATCCCCTTCAAGAACTCGTCGTTCTTGACCTCGATATGGTGCTTCTGGTCAGAGTCCTTCCACCGCCCCAGCTGCATTGTGGTCATCTCGCCCTTGTTGACTAGCCATGTGGGTTCGAATTCGACGTAGCGCTTGTAGACGTTGTAGACGGTGAGCAGTCGACGTTCCCCATCGTCGCCGATGGGGTTTTGTTCGAGGCGCAAGCACGCACGGCGACTCCTGGAGTAGTCGTTGCTGGGGCGGCCGTCTTGGTCGAATTCGAGGAAGGCATTGCTCTTGGCGACGGTGATCAACAGCCTGCGAATCCACGACTGTATACTGAAGTGGTGCACCTTGTCACAGTGCTTCTTCTTAATGGTTATGATCAGGCCCTTGGAGACGAGTTGGTCGAAGCATTTCTTCCCTTCCTCAGAACTCTTCACTATTCCCTCTCCCATCCACCAGTGGATCAGCAGCCTCTTCTTGAGGACAGCGTTCGCCGGGAAGACGGTGAGGCAGAAGAGGCAAAGCTTCAACTGAGTCTCGAAGCTGTCGACCACAAGCAATAGGTGCGCCCAAGCGGAGCTCTCTTGGATCTGCCGCTCCAGTGGGAAATCCTCCTCCTCCTCCTCCTCCTCAGCCTTGGATTCCTGTTCACCCGACGAATCCATTGGCTTCGCCTTTAATTCCTCGATTTTGAAATTGATGTTTTTCTTGATTTCGTCGAGCTTCGACTTGAGTCGGCTCTCTGTTTCCGAGGGATCCAACGTCTTCTTTGCCGACCGCAACAGCTCGTCGACTTGCCTGGCGACGAGTGCAAAACTATCCATGGCGGCGTCTTCTTTGCCCTTGGATTCCCGCAACTCTTTTCTCAGCTCCTCCATTTTTTCTTTGATCTTGTTGAACAGCTCAAGAACATCACGAACATCCTCGGAAGAAGCATCCCTCAGATCGGGGACGAAGCGGCCTTTGGCTTCTTCCAAACGCTTCATCAACCGAGACACTACTTCGACGCTGGATCCGCCGCAGGGGAACATGGTCGGAAGCAAGAAACGAGGCACAGGAGAAGGTTGGGGTTATGGTGGCTTCGTGTTACGTCTGCAACTCATATAGCTGCATCGGCATAATCTACGTAACGTACAAG